CTGTACCAGGAGATTGGTGTGAGACGATCAGGAGCTGCCGCGCGGAAACCCTGCGTTTGCCTTAAGAGCGGACGTTTGGCTCGTTGACGTTTTCTGCTCGCAGCAATGCCCGACAGCGCCGAGAACAACCGCATCTCCGGCTATGCCCTCCACCGCGACAGACTGTGAGTACCCCGCCCCAGACCCACGGTGCTGGGTTGTCCATATCCACTCCCCACCTGCCCCCTCCCCTCCCCATGCTCACACACCCACACAGGGAGTATCACCTCACTGTCCGCCAGGAGCCCAAGCAGGCCCGCATGTGCGGCGTCGGCGGCAAGGCAGACAGGCGCCCCATCGACCCCCCGCCCATCGTCCAGCTCCGCGTCGTCGACCCCGCCGCCAAGCACGGCCTGCAGCGCCTCAGGGTCCGCCGCAGACGCAGGGGCGACCGTGAGGTCGACCCCGAGGCCAGTGACGACGACGACAATGACGACGACAACGACGACGACAACAGGTGCGGCCGTTTTCCGATACTATAAGAGAAATAATGACAACCCACAGGGACCCCCCTGCGGATCTCGCCGGGTACGCACAGAGTTTTTTGCAGAATCCGTACTATTTCATGTTTGCGAGTCTTGCCAAACCCGATGACGACAAGGAGCTTCATTGGTTAAAGGTGTGCCATCTGTCTGTTATTCGATTCTCTACCCAACAACACTCGTCCTAGGACGGCCGCACACGATGCACGACCGGATCCGTCGTCTCGTCGCTCTACCATCTCAAAGATCCACACAACGGCAACGAAGGTGTGTTTATATTTTTTTTTTGGCTTCCTAACCCTCCAATCTTTTTTTCTCCCCAGACGCAGGCTTCTTTGTTTTCCCCGACCTTTCCGTGCGCACCGAAGGCTCCTACCGCCTCAAACTCTCCCTCTTCGAAGTCGTCGGCAACCAAGTCCGCCACTGCAAGTCCATCTACTCTGCCCCATTCTACGTCTACACTGCCAAAAAGTTTCCCGGTATGGAGGAGAGCACCCCGCTGTCGTGTTCTCTTGCCGATCAGGGGATCAAGATTCGCATTAGGAAGGATATCAGGGTCAGGAAGAGGCCCGTGCAAGAGGCGGGGGCAGGCGCGATGGCGATGGGGGTTGGTATAGGCGCGATGGCGATGGCGATGGGCACAGGGGCACCTGCGTTGCCACCGTTTGCGGGCGGGAGTGTCGACGAGCATGAGCAGCATGAACATGATATCGACAGAGACCAACACGAACGTGAATGGGATCGCGAGGCACGGAGGCGGGACGACGACATTGACATGAACGACGATGAGGACGAGGACGATGATGAGGACGACGACTCTTCACCTCGGTACGCGCCGCCCCCCTCCGCCACGCACCTCTCGTCCTTTCGCTCACACCGCCCACGGCACACTCACACCACCACCACCACCACCACCACCTCCCCTTCACGCGAAAGCACCCCACGGCGCGCCTCTAAACGCTCACGGATCGACTCGGGGCCCGACCCTACGCCCTCGGTCTCCGCATCCGCATCCACACCGACACTCACACCATCTACACCCGCAGGCCCGGGGATCGGTATACCGCTCATAGGACACCCGCAGCCTATCCCGGTGCCTGCACAGCATCCGTGGCCCCCGCCGACGGGCGATCCGGCGCAGGGACCTGCGATCCCGCCGCCGCCGAGTGTGGCGGGGACGCCTGGGCAGGGACAGCAGGCGCAAGCACAAGCACAAGGGGCACAGGATGCGGGGTATGTGTCGTATGAGCATTCTGTGCCCCCACCTCAGACGACGCAGCAGCAGCAGTATGTGGGATATCAAGCGCAGTATCAACAACCACTCCCGCCTCCGCCGCCTCCTCCTTCTCATTCGCATTCTCACCCTCCCCAACCGCCCTTGCATCCTCCTCCGCATTCCCACGCGCCCCCACCGCACCCACAATATACATACGCACCCGCCGCTGCACCTGCGCCTGCGCCTGCGCCCGCGCCCGTGCCGCCGGCTCAAGCATGGCAGCCCGCACACCCGTCGATGTACGATCCGTATGCGGGGTACAGTATGCCCCCTCCTCCTCCTCCGCCTCCTCCTCAACACCAACACCCCCCCCCTCCTCCCCCACACCACGCCCATATGCACTACGCAGCCCCGCCCCCGCCGCCGGGTCATGTGATGGTTATGCCCCCTCCGCATATGCATGCCCACCCGCATGCGGCGCCGAGGTACGAGTATGCACCGCCGCCGCCCCCGCCGCATCACGTGTATGGGTACGTTCCCCCGCCGCCGCAGCATCAGCACCAACATGGGTATTATGAGCCGGGGTATGCGCCGGGTGTGAGTGCGGGCGCGAGTGAGGAGGCTGGAAATACGGGCACGAGCACGAATCCGAATCCGAATGCGAGCACGAATCCGAATCCGAATGCGAATGGGACGCCCTCGCCTTCATCCTCAGCTCCGCCCGCGCCATCGCACGCTCACACCATCGGCGTACCACTCCCAACAATATCCCCACCAGGGACGTACCCGCCCCCTCCCCCTCCCACAGAATACACACACACATACGCACCCCCACCCCCCCCCCCGCCCGTTCCGTCCCCGCCCAGACCAGGAACGTACCCCGCGCCTCCGTATTACGCACAGGGAATCTACAGTAGCCCTCATCAGCCTATCCCCCCGCCGCAGCAGATGCAGATGTCGTACCACCACCAGCATCAGCAGTACGTGCATCCGCATCCGCACCCGCATCCGTCGATGCATCAGCAGCAGAGGGTGTACACTGGGACACCTACGTCCGTCCCGCCCCCGCCTCCGCCCAGTGCGCCGTATGGGTACACTACCGCGCCCGCGCCCGCGCCTGCGTATGCGCCTGGACCAGAGACGTGGGGTACCCCGCCCGCACCCGCACCCGCACCTGCGCCTGCGCCCGCGCCGGTGTGGGGAGACGCGTACCACCCGCACGCACACCAGAGTCAGAGCCAGGTGCAGATTCCGCAGCAGTATAGTGGGGACCGGATACAGCTTGCGCCGCTGAGAGGGCCTGAGGGGGGGTTATCGTCGCATGGGGGATTGGGAGGTGGGTGGGAGAGGGAGGGGGAGCGGGAGAGGGAGAGGGAGAGGGAAAGAGGGAGGGAGAGGGAAAGTAGGGAACGGGAGAGGGAGAGGGAGAGGGAGAGAGAGCGTGAGTGGGAACGGGGACGGGAGAGGGAGAGGGAGTATACCGCTGCCAGTGCTGGATATGAGGTGAGGAGGCGGGGGAGCAGAGATGAGAGGGAGGATGGGAGGGAGAGGAGGGAGAGGGAGGGGGGAGAGGGGGCAGGGAGGGAGAGCTCGAGGAGGGGTGCTGGGGAGATGCAGAAGAAGAATGTGTTGAGTATTGGGAGTATTATTTCGGAGGAGAGTGGGTAGGTTTGCGAGGTGTTTTTTTTTTTTTTTTCTGCGTTTCTGCGTTTTGCGTTTTGATGGATTGATTTTTCGTGCTTTACTTTCTTTCTTTTTTTTTTTTTTTGTACTCTACGGTTTCGGGTTCTATTTTTTTCTTTCTTTTTACAGCTTGTGTTTCCCCACCGTGCTTTGGAATTTGCTTTTGATAATTCGTACCTGCCATTTCGCTCGTCGTTCGTTAATTACCCACTCAATCTACTGTATACGTGTGTGTATGTACAATTACTTCTTTCTTGGCTTCTCGTGCGACGGAAACGAAACGGACAATGGAAAAAAAGAATATTTTACGCCTCGACGAAAGAAGGGTGGTGCCAGCGCCAAAGACCCGTTTCCCCGCCAACCACACTGCGTCGGTTCAAGGTGACGAATGGCTTATGTAGAGTCCAACCGCTGACTCGATAGGTGTTTTATGTAAGGGCAATCCAGACACTTACCAACCGGTTCAAACCATGATTTGTATAGTTCGACCGCTAATGTAAGAATATTCTCGAGGACGATGGACATTCTTGCCTTTCAGCTCTTCCTAGATTTCTTTGTATCCAAGCTTTTTATTGACCTCGAGCGACGAGTCGCTTTCAGTATATGGTATTGGAGTAGGTTCTTCCCCTCTGTAAACTGGTCGATGGTTACCGAATCAGTCGCGGTAAAGGAAGATGAAAAGGAAGCTGTATGCACTACAAGGGCCGAAATCAAGTATTTCAGATAAAATTGCGCGTATTGACAAATATTGTCATATCCGTTGCACCGACTCGCATCGTCAACGACGTTCAAGCGAGCGAGTGGATTCATGTATCCAAGAATGCGAATGTTCACCAGCTCTTTCTGACTTGAGGAGACTGTCTAAATTTCCTCAAAGAGGCTCATCGCTATTTTCTTGGCACCTTTGACGTCCATGCTACCAAGATTTCTGGAATGTTCATAGTAGTCTTAGTGCATAGAACATATGGGTTGATGGCGTAGTTGGTTATCGCATCTGTCTAACACACAGAAGGTCCTCAGTTCGAACCTGGGTCGACTCATTTGTCAGCAAGTAGTAGCATGCTCCAACTTTTTTATTGAACACGCAGCCAACTGTAAGGACCTCCTAGAGAGGAGTTGGTGGAACAAGTCCCCTCAGGGAGCTCCCACTACGATAACTTCCCTCTAGGTGAGTAAAGTAAACTGTTAGAGGGAACTTCCCTGATGATAACCTCCACGAATAGATTCGCCGTGCCGTTAGTTACATTTTTAGCCCCGGTATCACTTTCCGTGTGGGTCCGGACATTGGCTATTTCAATGGTACTCTCCCCTGACTGTCAGACTCGTCCTGATAACTGCTTTGCCGTGTATTTCTAGACGTGAGGGTGAACAGTACCATAGCTACCCATCATGTATATCAAAAACACTGGTTCAAGTCTATATTCTTTCATCAGGGGAATTGATCTGCATATCGGTCTTGTTCGATTTGTTCAATAGAAGAACCAATGACGCAGATGTTGGCCTTCCCCAAGCATGGTCATCTCGATAATGTCGTATCGGCTCTATCAATGGTATCCCCTGAACTTAAAAGCTTTTTGCAATCCCTCTTAGCTCAGCGGTAGAGCGCTTCACTAGTATCTCACCCATCTGCTGTTGCATCATGAAGAGGTCAGTCGTTCAAGTCGGCTAGAGGGAAATTTGGTTGCTATCTTCATCTTTTTCAGTGGGCCCACCATTTGTTTTTGCACTCGGATTATTTATTTACTTTCACTTCCACGAGTAACCAGGCCACGGGATTTAACGTCCCTTCCCTCAGCTACAGCCAGTGCAGTAATCGACACATCTGGAACTTCCGATTGAAGACTTCATTCACTTCACGGAGCCTCTCCTTAAGATATCAATCATCTCGAGCACGAATGGCACATGCATTTTCAAAGAAAACAAGGTCCAGGCAATTGGAGCCACAAGTCCTCCAAGAAAAGTATATACACCTTTCTATGAAAGCAGAACAAGAGCAACAAGACTGAGTACAAGGTATCCAAGCACATATGGTATCCAAACACATATGGTATCCAAGCATATACGGTATCCAAACTCATGATATCCAAACTCTCATCGGATTCGAGTTCCTACTAACAATCGCCTCCAGCCTATGAAGGGAACTCGGATGGATCCCATGCACAAGCATCCTCACAGCCACGCCACTCCAGCCACTCAGAACAATGATACGCAACCGTTCGTCTGGGACACGGCTCCAGCTCTTTGACCAAACCATCTCCGCCTCGTATTATCGCAAAGTAGCTGTTGCCCACTCGTACTACACGCACCATGGGGAAGCCGTGAGCTACTATAGCTGAGACGTTGCGCAAAGGCAACAGGTCAGGCAGACCAATGTATCGCAGTGTTGGCGGGATACCAGGACGAAGTTGCTGGATAAGATTATATTAGCTCATATGATAGGTTACAACAGAGGATAAAAAGAATACCTCAAGGAACGGGACAGGATCTCTTGATGAAGAAGGAACATGGTCTAATGTCAGTGACAATGCCAGCACAGTCCTTGGAATCAGCCATGACGCCAGGCCAGGCGATAAATCTGGAGGATAGGCGATCTTCAAATTTCGAAGGTTAATCAGCGAGGGCAGGACACCCCACACGGCAGCATCGAATCCGACTGCACGCTGCACGCTCTCGTCATGAGCAGTGAGGGCGAGAGACCGAAGCTGATGACGGCCCCTCAGGAATTCTGCGACAGCTGGAAAGAGATCACGGTCTGAAACCCGGCGGTGTACCATCATTACCGAGAACGAAAAGTTGCGGAGGAAAGGCAGAACAGGACCGTACGCGTGATGGGTGGCACGGAATTGCTGTGAGGTGGCACCATCGAGGGAACAGCAGAGTGAAAGGGATTCCAATTGGCGGCCGTTGGCAAGGATGTCGGCGAAGAGCTGATTATTCAGGGGGACGTGGCCTGTAAAATGGAAATGTGTGAGGTTACGAATGGAGACGCTGTTGGTGGGGAAAACCCAGTGGGGGTTGTCGATGTAGACTGTGCGCAGGAAGTCGCGATTCTGGGCGAGGAAAGAGTGGACTTGATTGGTTGACCCCCCTGATGAGCAGTACGAAAAGTGAGCGAGGTGTTTGAACTCAAATTGAAGATCCGTGGGGCCGTCCGGTGAGCTGGAATTGGGGTTGGCACCTATACGAAGAAATGACGAGGCAGAACAATGCATACTGGATCGAAAGACCGCGTAAACGCGGCGTACATGTTTGTAGGACACGCAGAACTGGTATGATACCTTCTGCGCCCGCGGAAATATACACATTACGAAGGTTGATCAAATTGGGGAGTGCATTAGTCAACATGCCTGGAGTGGAGTTAACCTCGGGTCAGACTTGAGCAGGAAGAAACAGAACGGACCTACCTATCTGAAAGGCCAATGCCCCATCCTTATCACGTATGGGAGCGTATATCCGCAGAGTCCGAACGGCACTCGCGAATTTAGGATCCACTATGATACGTGTCAGAATATCTGCGCTCCTCTGGGCATGTCGTGCATTGACATCGTCAGCGAATCCAACGTCTCCTGCATGCTGCATCCATATATCGCTTTTACCTTCCTCAGCATCGATTCCCCCAAAGTGAAGATCAAGCTTCCGGAAGAGGATTTGACTAGCAACGTGTGATATGGTATGGGGTATAAAAAGTAAGGCTTTAAGGTCATGTCGAGGTAGATAGAGTGCGATCTCGCGCCATATTTCGACAGAGAAACGTTCTTTCTTCGCGGGTAGTGGTGATAGAAGCTAAGATAGGTATCATTAATCACGCCCGCAAGCTCTAAACGTTAACAGTACCAGACCTTTTCGACCGTCACTGACCGTTGATGCAGCAGTGCCTTCGCTTCGGGGTTGTCAGGTTCTGCGACGAGCGCTGCTTGAAGATCTGGAGACATGACAAACAGTTGCGATCAGCCAGGTGGTGAATGTTGTGGGAACGGACAGCTAGCCATACCGTCCTGGGCCCCGAAGTGAGAACCGACTGCGAGTCTAGCCCGGGCCCGCAGGATTCGAGCCTTGGCTGTGTTTTCAGGGGAAAGAGTGGAAATAAGTAGACATGATTGGACGGCATTTTCGATGATGGTTCTAGAGCGCCTGTTGATTTTGTGTATATGTGTATTGGTCGAGGGTTGTCAGCAGAGAAACCCTGAGCATGAATGGAGATCAAACGCTTACCCCTCTGGGTGAAGGCTCCGCATTGCATAGAGAAGGAGGTCGGCCTTTTGGTTATTGGTCAAACATGAAGAGACGTCGCGGATGCTAGCATCGAGGATTTTTGGATTAAAGACATCCATGGTTGGAGGGGTATCAATGAGCCGGGAGGTTGAGCGTGTTAGTACTTATTACATATCAGAGTTAAGAATTTTTCTATCTGGGTATAGCCGCGGCAACGACCCGTTTCCTCCCGTTTCCAACTGACTGGTAGGGTACTCAGATCCAAAGCTTGGCGAAGTGGCGAAGTATTTGTATGGGAACCCGCGGTCCAAGTGGGTCTGGACGCAGTCCAGATTCCAGCTTCTTGTGTGATCTTGTGCTATGTTTTCTCCTTTAGCAGTGAGTGAATCATAGTTCGGACATGCCTGCATTGCAAATGCAATGAATAATGCTGTAAGGTCACGCATAAAGCGGTATATAAACTGGCAATCAGCACTTCTCTCACATACGTCAGGCACAATTGAAGCTCAGAACAAGGTACGACGAAAGTCCACACATATTGAAATTCGAGATGGAAAGCCTCTCTTCATACGAATTCTTGGGCATTTGACTAACCACGCCTCTTTGGCTTGCCACTCGTGAAAAGCCTTGTTCTTCTGACAAATCGAAATGTTTTCCATAATTTGGTGATCGGTCAACGTTTACGAAAGACCGATATTGAAGGTCATTCGCCGGGCCCCTCGTTTCAAGTTCGAAATCGCATCTTACATGAGAGTGAAAGGACAGGAGCCGGCGGAATTTGAGATAAAATCGTGGAGTGGGCGCAGAATACTGGATTGCTTCGCCAAACTTCGATCTTCGATAACCTCGAGAGGAAACATCTCGCGCTAGACCACCGTACCAGTTCAGGACCTCCGGAAATCTAGATCACTAGGAATTGGTGGTGTTCCGAAGATAACAATACCAGAGACCTTCCAGCAACCATCTCGTAAGCCACAATTTGTCAACCGTCTAACAGGTCCAGGGGTCGAGACGTGCCCTGTGTAGTATCCACATTCGTCTCTTCATGACACACGATACTGTAGTAAATCACCATCAACGGTAACGTTAATTCTCCTGACACGAGTAGTGCCTTGGTAGTGCCAGTGATTCCATGCCGGTACCGTGTAATGGTCCATAGAACGTGTAGGTGTTCCAAAGAACACAAAAACTACTCCCAAGTGCTAGCTTACCTAGACTATCCATTCCCTGATACTTGATACTAGCGAAGTAAGTATTAGCTCAGAATGTATTTAACGCAGTATGTATACTATCGCACCCGTGTAGTAGTTCGGACTCCCTTCCGTCGGACGTCACTGATCGTCACGACTCACAGCCTTAGTCAGGCCCTTGCTTCGTAACCACGCTTTCCTTTCAACAAGATTTCGAAGTCCGCTCTGCCGGTCAGCCCTGGCAAGCAAGGAAAGCAACAATCAGACCCATCTCCGAGTCTTACCTCAGATAAAGCGTAGTTGAGCTTTATATATTCGACTGCCTACCAAGTTTGGAGTGTTGTCCTTGGTTAGTTGTAATGGAAACCTTGGTACTGAAGTACTGAAGGAGGGGTCTGAGCTACAGGGGTGTGATAGTACCCAGACATCCTGTCAACAAGTATGGCCATGGTACGGCCGTAAGCATTGTCCGTCGCTGTCAGACATTTTTGATCCTACCCTTACGGGTCGGTTAAGTACTTGTAAAGCTGTTTGCTCGAGCCCCACACCGTGTGCCATATTCGGACGGTGTGCACCTCTAGCCCAAGGTGTTATGTGAGATTAATTTGCAGGCCAGTCATGACATTGTATATAACTCCATTCCTGCGTAGGCTCAAGAGTGCGGAAGAACAGAAATCTAATTGTAAACGTGTTCAAACATAAATTAATGGGGCAAGTGTGTCGGTCACGCACTAGTCACATCTTATGTAACAACCCTCTTTCTTCGAGCTCGCTGTCTACGGAGGGGGTGTCCGTACACATCGGCGAGCTCGCTCCTTGTTACCGAACAATTCCAGTCTTCTCTAAACTTTCCTAAACTCGCCTAGTTTGGCGCTTCCTCTACAGAATTCCTTCGATCTCCAAGAATCCACCGAGTATTTTGCCATGCGTTTCTTCAGGAGGCTTTCGACAGTGTGTCTAGCACTAGGATATATGACATCGAGTACAGGTTAGTAGACTCTTTCTAAATGCAGTTGATAACCTTGAAATATGCTGGCAACGTTCAATTCGCAGCATACTTCGTCATAACCGAGCCCACACGCGATACACAATGGGCACTTGGCACTCCAAATCCTATATCATGGACAAAGGGTGTTCTGGACAACATTGCTAGTTTTGATGTCGAAATGGCGCGGTTAGGCTCTAACGGACTCAGCTTCGTAGCACGAAATGGTGGGCATGCGACCGTTATTGCCGGTGAAATCATCGAATTGATTGATGTGAAAAATCTCCA